ATCCTCGGCACAAAAGCCACTCTCTTTTTCGTCGGTTGTGCAAAAATGGCCGGGCAAAAACGCAGGGACGTTGCGCCAACGCTTGCTTGCTACTTTTTATTGTGCACACGCAACACCAGTTTCTCTCCCAGGAGGAGCGTAAACCACAACAAACAAACAAACAAACTGGCCAAAACCGCCGGCGCACCCCAAGATTAACAAATTTGGCGCACGTGGCGGCTTCGCCTTATTAAAATTCAGCGATAATTCTCGCAGATATTATTCCGTGGGCTCTCGCCTGTATGCAAATGTATAGCATATGCAGCAAATTAAGATAAAACTCTGGTGAGCGTAAACCTGCGAATGTTACGGTGAGCACGACGAGGAGTGATGCGCACTTCGGGGCCACCAGGACTTGCGTTTACGAGCGGAGAATTTTCTCCTCGAGCATTAAAAAGAAGCAAAAATGTTTACGTTTTGGGTCTCCGAGGGGAAAAGCGTGACTCGGTTTGGAACGGCTGATGTCAGTGGATCCGACTTTTAAGATTTTTCACTTTTATATATATTAAAAAGAAAAATTGAAAGTTTAGCCTTTGCCCTGTCAGTGAGTAGATAACACTTTTTATTGTGATTTACAAATTTTTAAATTCAAATCGCTAACAATTAATAATATTTAATTTGTGAATTGAATTCGGAAACAGGAAAAAATAATTAAACTTATATGGATATAGGACAAATTGATTTCCAAAGTTTAATTAAATCTGTCAATCAATTTATTATCCATGATATAATTATTTTGGCTCTGTGCTCATTTATCTATCACAAAGGTAAATGCTTCACATGAAATTAGGGGATTATGTTCATTGAAAATTATACAATTCAATATTTTATAAAGCCTTTCAAACCTTGGTAAAAATCAGGATTTTTTTTTTAAAAGCCACGAACTAAAGTAATAATTATGTATTTAATGTCTTGATTTGTTTAGAATTGACAAGTGAAAGTATTATAAAAGGTTGAATATTAATTTGCTCTTGAATTTTGAATTGTGCGAATTGAACTCATTATTTAAATTATAATTTTTATTCATATTCTACAATTTCGTGGAATCGCGTTTCTTTAAAAACACAAATATGAACTTTGATTGGATTAATTACACAAGTTTTAGTCGTGCTAGAGGGAGAATAAAAAAAATTTGAATTTTCCTTCAAAACTTTTCTAATTAAGAAATGTGTGCATATTTTTTTCCATTTTGGGAAAACAGTATATTTCTTTGAAACTTGTTTTTGTGCTCGTCCATTTCAATCAACTCGCAGAAATTTCAATCAACCGTGCCAGCGACAGAAAGTGTATATGGGATGGGAATATCCGCTGCTCATTTTCACATCGAACAAAGAGAGCCATCACTCGTCTCTCTCAGCTCCAGTAATGAAAAAGAGGAAGAAAAACGTTGGAGGGAAAAAAAGAACGAAAGAGTTTCTTTTCGTTCTCTGCTCCCGGCAGGAAAGGAAATTTTGTCGCAATCATTTAAAAGCAAGCTGCGAGCAATAATTTCAAGAGAGGCGCGGCACACTTTATTTGCATATTAATAGTCGTGTGTCCTCGAAAATTGTCTTTCTGCCAAAAGTTTCTCGCCTGGGGAATGAATGACGTGCGGATCGATTCGGCCGAAGGCGATTATTCAATCAGGCCGCGCTTTTTACCATAACTTGCCTCCCATGTAAAATTCATTCTCAACACGACGGGGATTAAAGCCGCGCCCGAGAAAGTGTGATTATCATTAATTTCTGATGGAATAAATTTTCCCTTCTGAATAAAGGCTGCGCCCTCTCGTCAGCGACTCATTCACGGTTGATGACATTTGGAGAAATGCTGCGACATTTAATTCGAAATCGCATTTTATCTCGGTGGCATTTTGCGAAAGGACAAATTCCAAATGCCGTGGCGGATTCCGACTGCATATTTGCCCAGACCTCGGATTTTTTTCGGCCGGGGATGTTTGTGATGCTCTCGTCATGTCGGCCTCGGGAATGCTGCTCCAGACCGTTCCACTTTATTGTTTGCACGGGGGCCGCACGCGAAATAAAACTCAACGCGCTGTAAACTTTACTAATCTCGAACTTGGCCGGACCAACTTTTGAAAAATTAAAACTACCCTCTCGTCGTCGGTGCCAGAAGCGGCGTCCTCTCTAAATCGAGATGAGAGAGAGAGAAAGCTCGGTTGGTATAAATAAGATGTGTGCAGGGGATTGATTAAAACCGGGGGTGATTTTTGTACTGGACTTTTGCCAATTCGCTTCTAATTGAAACTGTAATACTGCCAGGAAAAGGGGTACTTGCAAAAGAATGAGCATTGCTCGAACAGACGAAAAAATACAATTTATTTGAAATTCTTCACATTTTTTATTTGCTTCATTCAGTTTAGAGCTCCTCTTTTTCCTCGATTTCCTTTGTTTTAATTGATAAATTGAAATAATGTGTTTTATTTTTATTGGATGATTCCGGTTTAGTTTTGTGTGACAAATAAAACTGCAGTGCAAATTAGGCTAATTTTTAGATTCGCGAAAAAATCATTGAATTTTACATGAAATGGCCCAATTTTTATTTAATTTTTTCTCTTTCTTTATACATAAAATTAAACCGAAAATAGTTTAGCCTCCTGTTTTAATTAGAACAGATAAATGGATTTTTCAATGTTTAGAGCATATTGAATTAAATTTACTAATCAAAAGGAAAGCTGGTGAAAAAGCCGAAAAAGCATTCCAAACTCGTGGCCAACGCTTTGTGTGTTCCAAAATAAATCCAAATTCGACGACCTATCAACGGTTAGTCCGTAATAAATAATCCCCAATTATAATAGCCATGCACGCTCCGTGCTACGTGTAGACTGCAATTTATCATCGGCGGCCTTTTTAGTCGCGGCCGAACCGAATTTGCATGTTTGATCCGTGGACGCGCGCGCGCCTCCCTCTCCACACATGCAACAAAAAGCTGCCGGCTTATCGCCATTATCGGAAATTTAGGCAAAAGGGCCTGATAAATTATTCATCAAATAAAATTCGGGTGGGGGGCAATACATACAAAATTATACACATTATACGCCGCGGCTGCTTTGTTGCCAAAACTAACAGAGTTTCATGTGACGGAATGGCGCGTCGGGCGCGACCAAAGATAATAATGTTAAAATTACGCCGCGATGAACTGTGCTCGCGTAAATTCGAGGGAGGTAATGATATTATTTTATTAGCGGACCGGCAGGTAATAATTCATTGGCGTTATTTGTTGTCCTGCGCGCCCTTTGTCACGCCGCCGACTGTCGTGCTTATTTATTTATCAAAAATCGATTTCATAACTAGGCTTGATGGACATAATAACGGCCACGTCGTGACTAATAATAAACCTTTTTTGCACCGAATATATAGGACTGTAAGTCACTTTTTTTATTATTATTATTATTATCTGGTTTTTAATTATTTATACTAATACGTTTTTCCAACTAATGATGCACTCTAATTTCGCTTTACTTAAAAATTTCCAAATTGGCACTGCTACAAAACTTAAATATTATTTAATTTTCTTTTTCAATTAAAAATTGTGCTATAAATTTATTAGTTTTTGTTATGTCTTTCAATTCATAATTTAGAGGCGTGAATGTCTATGCCATAAAAAAATAAATAAAAATCAAATTATTATTTAAAATGATTTAAGTAAATTTAAAGTTTAAAAAAGTATAAACTGTTTGTCTATTAAATTAAAATTTTCTATTCAATGCAATTCTTAATAAAAATATCTGCAAAAAAAATATTGATTGTCATTATTCAATTTAAAAAAAGGATTAATTTGTTTTTAGATATGTACAGAATATTTAAAAGAAGACATTCCTGTTCCTTCGTCTGTACTTGTTCATAAGTTTTTTTACTTATTTTGGGAAGCAGCGAGCATATTATTAGCCCTTCAAGCGGCAAATGTCGCAGGACACATGATGTGTGCCGAAAAAGTTTATGAATATTTCGAGACAGTTTTAAGTGGAAGTCACGGAAGTGGAAAATTGCTTTTTTTAAAGTACTGCGCGCCGCAGTCGAAAGTCGGTCGGCGAAATACATTCTTCTGGTAGGCCGCAAAATCCGGTCATGGCAATCGCAGCGCACGCGGCCTGCTTAATTTCGGCTGCAGGATTTTGAAATGGACTTTCCTCGTATGGGCAAAGAGCTTTTCCGCGCACCAAGTGTTTCTCTCTATAATCGTATTTCACAGGAATGCGTTTGTGCGGATATGCGCGATTCTATTTGACAGAAAGAGTGAGGGAGCGTTGAAATAAATTCGCTATCCAGATTGAGTGGACATTTTTCCTCAATCATTTTATGAGGAGACAAAAAGCTTAATTTATTTGAAAGGGCTATTCGCATAGTGTTTACAGTGCATTAAAATTCTAGCTGTTTGTAAAGATAATTCTGGAAAATTTGACGATATGAAAATTTTAATTGTTTTTGAGACAGCTGACGAATTTTTAAGATTGGATTATGTAGCATTGTAATGTTTGCATTAATCTTATGAGTAATGAAAATCGCTGGGGAAACATTGAAAGCTTATAAATGATAATTCCTAAGCATATTTCTCGATATTTTCAAAACGTACCAAAAATACTTGAATCTGCAGAAATTCTATTTTAGTATTTAATAAATTGTATCATAGTGTTCGGACGATAGATGTAAACGGTTGAATATTGTTACGTATTGATACACCTTTTGAAAGAATTTCATTTATTTAAATAATTATATCTTCTCTTTCTACTAATTTTAAAAATTGCTTTGACCAAGAAATAAATTAAAAATAGTAAGGCTCCAACAAATAAATTTCACTCTGAAGTTTGTTATTAAATTTTTTTCGAAATCAAGCAGAATAGATGTCAAAATTAGTAAAAATGACCATATATTTAAACTTCTCATATTGAAAATTTATCTCATTTAATATTATGAGAATATTAATTATATTTTAATTAAATAATTTTTCCTGTTTGTTTGAAGTCGTGCCATCCTGACAAATCAGGACGTGCTGCCGTCGACGCCGCTGCTGCGAGTGTGGCAGGACGACTTCTGGGGCACGCCACTGGGCCACAGCGGATCGCACAAGTCGTACCGGCCGCTGACGGTGCTCACCTTCCGGTTCAACTACCTGCTGCACGGCTTCCGGCCGCAGGGCTACCACCTGTTCAACGTGCTGCTGCACTGCCTGGCGACGGCGCTGGTCGTCCGCGTCGGCCGCCTCCTGTTCGGCCCGCGCCGCCCGGTGGCCGTGGCCGTGGCGGCGGCCACCTTCGCCGCCCACCCGGTGCACACGGAGGCCGTGGCCGGCGTGGTCGGCCGCGCAGACATGGCCGCCTGCGTCTTCTTCCTCCTCTCCCTGCTCAGCTACGCGGCCCACGTGCGCCTGCGCGAGCGCCTCGAGACTTCGAACCACCCCCTGCTGGCCGCCCGAAAGTGGACCCTTTTGGTGGCCGCCCTGCTTCTGGCCGCCTGCGCTGGCCTGGCCAAGGAGCACGGCCTCACTGTCCTTGTTGTGTGCGCCCTGTACGATCTGACGAGGCACCTCAGCCGCTACCCTGACTTCAACCTGGCCCACCTTTTCACTAAGGTAAGCAAAATGATCTTATTATTCTGGACTTCAAACTACAATAATTTATAAAAAAGACCCTCTCCGGCCATTTGTATTACTCTTTATTCTGAAAGATTGCTAAAATTTGGGTATAACTTGTGAAAAAACTTTGCAAAAACTCCAAAAAGTTGCGTCGCAATAAAAAAAACCTAATATGAGTGATTCGCGCAACAAACGTGACAATTGAGTTGCAGGGATATTTCCGTCAGTTTGGTTCAAAAACTGCAGGATTTTGTCATTTGTGGCGCTGCGATCGCTGATTTTGCCACTTATGCCCAACGGCGCTGTGCAGAAAACCTGGCAAAATCAGCGATCGCAGCGCCAATGTGACCAAATCCTGCAGTTTCTGGACCAAATAGACGGAAATACCCCTGCAATTCAATGCTCAATTGTTTTTCGCGCGAATCACTTGTACTAGAGGTTTTCTTTTGATTGCGACGCAAAACGGTTTGGAATTTACACAAGTTATACTCGAAATTTAGCAATCTTTCAGAATAAAGAGCAATAAAAATGACCGGATCGGATCTTTATTTTTTGCTAGAAAATATTAGGCAATTTTTGAAAATTCCCCAAAAAATGTTTGGAAACTTAAATTTTATTAAGTTTTATATTCCACTGAAACGCACTGCAAAAACATGGAATAACTAAGAATAAACTGTTTATATTTCTACCGTTTTCCTGACAATGATTTTTAGATGAATGTAATGTAAACCTTCGTTGCTCCGCATAACTTCAACTGAATTGTTACATTTCCGCAAATTGTTCTTCTCAATCCTTTGTCTCTCGATCTTTGAAAGCACCGCAGCAATGCACACAGAACGTTGCAAGTTTCCTTTGTGACAAATTTACCGCTGCTTTTTATGACGAAAAAGAGATATGCCTGTAGAGCATTATTATAAGATAGAAGCGGAAATCGGAGAATTCAATTAAACCGCGTTTGTCCGTGATAATGGAGAGCCGCTGTTTATTTTCCATAAACTCACCATGGCAACCGGATAAAAAGAACCGGGGCGCTATTCATCAACCAACTACATAATTCGTCCTCTCTCACAAAGGGACTCGAGTACAGAAAACAAACATGCTAGTGGAAACGGGAGATAAAACGCGGCGCATTTTATATTCCCGAGGATTAAAAAGCAGAGAGATATAATAATTTGGTTCGGGCAGGAGGAAAAGTCTGCTTTTATTAATTCATTATCTGGCCGTAAAAAGCGTCGGGGAAAACGCAAAACAACTTTTTTACGGCGGTTTTACGAGATTCGGGGATCAGGCCGGGGTGTAAATAAAATATCGGGCGGTAATTGGCGCTTCCATGTACCATGAGAGTTCGCGGCTGCTGATTCGTATTCAAGACGAGTCGCCCACTGGAGCCGGCCAGATTGCAGCGTGATGAAAAAGTAAAGAGCGCGTCGATCAGCACCCCTATTGATTAAGGCGCGCCGACGAGCGTTTTCAAATTTACCTTCCAATTATTGCGACTTATCACACCCCATCCGCGCTCAAACTTTATTCTTTCGGCGCGCAGCAAATGAAGCGTGCCTGTGAGCCTAAAAGCATTAAAGAACAATCAGCGTCGAGAAATCGATTCATTTCCACCGTCGTAAGAAATCTTGCTCTGATTTTTGCCAGACCAGGCGGTTGTGGAATGAATAAAAAAAAATAAGAACTATGCGTCTCTCCCAGAGTGCACCGCTCGGCTGCAAATATTATGGTATTTTCTATTTATTATTTTTGACGTGCGTGAAGCATGAAAAGTCAGAGAGGTAAAGTGCTTTTTAAAGTTCAAAGGGCTCATCAGAAATAAATTGGGAAGACACATCAAATAATAAAAAAGAATTTTAGTAAACAAAGATGAAATAACAAAAACTTTTTTATTTTATTAAAGTAATTGTTAAGATAATATAATTTCATTTTATTTATTTTAAGTTTTAAGTACATTAAATTAAATAAAATTTTATTTTCATTTAGGAATATTAATTGATAATTCCATTGTACTCTCACTTGATATTGTTGTCAATTTTTGTAATGCAAGATTTAAAAAACTACATATAATCATTTTATTATATAGAACAAAGTAGCTGATTGTTAACTATGTAAATCACATTATAATAATAAATAACACCTTGCGTTCGTGCCAGTTATTATCGGTCATCATTGAGCTTATTCTTATCAATTATACAAATTATAAATTGTTTTTATGGAAATTTTAAAATCCTGGATCATCATGTTTTCCTGAAATGTGGATAGAAAAATTACAAACCTTTCAACAAATAATTATAAAAATCCCAGGTCCTGACTTTTTGATATTAAAAGTCGTCATTATAAAAGTTATCTCCATAAGCAAATTTCATTTAAAAATAATTTCACTTCAAAAAATTATGATCAAAACCAATGTTAATAATTTAATTTTTTGTTTCTACCGTTTCTATTGATCGTCGGTTCCAAAACTAGGGCAGAAAATGCCAAAACGAATAATGTAGCAGTCTTGCAGAAATTTTGCCTTCATTTACAAAAGTCAAAAGGAGATAAATTGCAATTGAAATATCCACCAGCCGGCATTTTTTAAACTCTCAGTCCCAGCGGAGTCCTGGCCGTGCAAAGTAAACGTGGAGCGGCTCTCATTTTGCGTCAGAAGAATTAAACAGGCTGCTCAGAGTAATAAACTAATTTGGTCTATTCCCGACTGGCCACGTCATTTGGACGATTAATTAGAGCTGCGTGTAGGTACGAATGGAGAAATGCTAGAATTGACCGCCCGCGCACGAAAGGATAGAAAGAAGAGAGTTCGCTTAATTAAATTAGCTCGGCGGCTTTTATTCTAATGGAGGTTCGAGTACAAGTAGCGTGGAATTAAATTATTGCGGCACGCCGAGTGGCTGCTGCACGAGTGGGTGGACGGAGTGAGTGCAGAATTTCATCAACGGCAGCAGATATGGATGTTGTGATGTGTATTATTACGGCACACGATTGCTATTCGCATCGCTCGCTGCAAATATTTGCGCCTAGAAATTAATTGCGAATCAGCAGATATGATTGTTTGACGTGCGCTGCTTGCGTTTAAATTATTCAGCCATGATGATTCTCAGTCTGTGTTGAACAAATTATTGTTTTCCTTATTTGGGAGAATATTTTATTTGTTTCTATGAACCAAAATGAATTGACTATGAAAGTCAAGATGGTTGAGAAATCGGTATTTTTTTTTTGCAAGTTTAATTAATGCAAACTTTAAAATAAATGTTGGAATTTATTTTTAAAAATATTTAAAATTCGGGAAAAAACAATACAATATTTTTTCTATTTACAAATTAAATTTATTCGTGCATAAAATCACCTATTAATTTAAGTTTTACTATTTCAAATAATTAAATGAAAATAATTGCTCACTAATTTGCCTACTTTGGAACTTTTTAATTAAAATTTGACTTTAAATATTCGCCTTTATTTTCAACTGTCTGGATATATTTTTAGGATATTTTTCTCCACATTTTTTTTTTAGAAAAAGATTTTATTTTATTCTGGATTTAAAATTATAACTTGGGTTATCATTAACCAGGCAGTTAATGCAAAAAATTCGTTTTCCTCTGATATTGATTTTATTTTTTGGTCAGTGGAGGCTTTTTATAAATTTTCCATGTTGGCTTTCATCAAAACGGCTGGGATTCCTGATTGAAATTCCTCTTCCTAGAAATGACAAACATTTTTACCTTTTCAAGCTTTCCCGGAAATGAAATAAAAAGTAATTAGTAAAAAGCAATCTGTTCAAAATGAACTAATATTTCTAGCAGTTTTCCTCTCCTTTTTCGTCCTTGGGGCTGCCGAGGGTTGCAATTATTCAAATAGTGTTTGCTTGAAATTACACGAAATAAAACTCTGCTGTGCACTTATGAGGCCTGACGTGCAGGTACTGTAATAAGTTTGCTTTTAAAATTCCGCCACCACCGCAGCTGTGTGGATGGTGGATAAAATTGGATCCGCCTGCACCCCCATCCGGCGGGCGTTTTATGTTTATAAAGCAGCCGCCGAGATATAATGGCATTACCGGCGGCGTCGGATAACCGTGCGCAGCGCTCTCTCGCACCACGATAAAGCTCTCGAAAATCGAGCCAAATTAAAAGCGTCACGCGAGCCACAGATTTCCGAAGATTGCATTTTAATGGAAACCAAATTTCATGCACCGAAAATAGCAGCTGTTAAGACGGCCGGAAAAAAAATTGGATAAACCACAAAGCTGAAAAAGAAAAGATCGGAAAAGATCTTATATAAATAATTTATAATTGTTAAAAAAGAAAACAGGATGAGAAGTTAATAAATGCAATTGATTGTATGATGGGCAAATATTTACAAAAAAGATTGATTTCCTGGGAAATATTTTGGTTAAATTTTCTATCGATTGGTGCCAACAATAAACAAGAGAATTTTCTAAATAAAATTTTCATGGAGCTCCAAAATGTGTGCAGAGGAATTTTTATTCTGCAAAATAAATTTTCTGTCGGAAGTAATTTCAGAATTCCATTTTATTTTTGGTGGATAAAAATCATTTTCGCAATTAAAAATTTAACATAAAAAAATCATAATTCTCCTTTGTTTGTGCTGCTTAAATGAAAAAAATCTAAATTTCAGACTGAATTTTGAGAATTTTCCGTCGTGCCACGGTTGGCTTCTCTTTTTCTCTCCGTTCTGAAATTACATTTTAACTATTAATACGCAGGGCGGTGTGACGCAAGTACAATACCGCAACTGGTGCGAAACGCCGCCCGTTTCTCTCTGCTGTTTCTGTCCTGTGTGTAATATGTCTCTCATTTTTATCACGCCACACACGAGCCCACGCTTGGATAATTACGGAGGAAAATCGTGTTTCGCCGGTCTGATGGCATTTCGGTGTATTTTCCACCTGCCCTCCATTATTTTTTCATCAGCGCGCGCACCGCCGGGTTTTTGTTTTCTCGTTTTGATAAGTGTGAAGCGGGACAAGAGGCTGA